GGTACTGCACTCCAGCCTGGGCGAGATCATGACCCTGCTTAAAATTTAAAAACAAAAACGGAGGGGGACTGCCCTCTCTGTTCACCCAGGCAGAAGACACTGCTAGAGAAAATCCTGTGATCACATAGATTGCCCTTTTATTCCCTCCAACCCACAGTGACTTTCCAGAACTTTCAGCCTCTGCCAGGACCTTTGCAACATTTACCTCCTCTAATTCTCAAAGGGAGATCTTTCCTCCTTACATCTGTGAGAACACTGAGGCCCCCAAATGTGAACCACCTTAACTTTCTGCCCTGCTCCATTCATTCATTGATTCATTTAAGAAACATTTTCTCAACACCTGTTATGTAACAAGCTCTATGTGAGGTGCTGGGAATGAAATAAACACGCTCTACCTTCATGGTGCTTACTGTCTGGTGATGGATAAAGCTGTATAAAGATGATGAATAAGAGGTCTAACTATCCTCATGCTGCAAGAAAACCCAAACTTCGTGCTCTGGTTGACAGTCCCTGCTGAGCCCAGCTTCTGAGTAATTCCAGCCCAGACATCAGACATGTGAGGGGAGAAGCTTCCAGATGATACCAGCTCCTAGCCATGGAAGTCACCCCCAGCAGCCTGAGGATTTTAGACTCGGGCTCCTCGCATTGTGAAGCAGAGACTTCCTGGCTGTTCTTTCTCCAGGAACACACTTTCCAACTTCCTTTGCCTGGCTAGATCTTTCTTACTCCTTAAGCCTGTTTAGGCCTTTTCTTCTCCAGGAAGCATTCCCTAAACTCTTCGGTTGGGTTAAGTGGACCTTCTCTGGGATGCTTTAGCATACCTCTTCTTTAGTATTACTTAGAAAGTATCTGTCTGCGTTCCTCCATAATTATGTACATATCCGACCTGCCACAAAGACACTCGGCATATGCTTACTAGCGGCACTGAAGAAATGTGAACTGCACTGAGCTGGCCCCGAGGCAAACCGCAAGCAGGATGGTTTGTCTTTAGCGCCCTCTACCTTCTTCACAGCACCCTTCCACACCACCCTTCAAGCATCCCTTGTCCCAATTCACTTTCAGTATCTCTAAGTGACAACTAAAAATGGCATTAACTTAGAGCTTGTCTCATAAGCTCATAGAGCAGAAGCCTTAAAAAGCAGTATTTGGGTGCATAGATTTGCTAAAGTCTAATCACCTAGACTGGGATCATATGCCAGTGATTGGAACTGAACTCCAGAGCCTGGAGAAAAAAAATCACACTGCAGTGTAGGTAAGTGACCAAGAGGACAGAATGAGGCAGGCAGATTGCTTGAGCCCAGGAGTTCGAAACCAGCCTGGGCAACATGGCAAAATTCTGTCTCTATAAAACAAAAAATAGCCAGGCATGGTGGTGTATGCCTGTAGTCTCAGCTACCCCAGAGGCTGAGGTGGGAGGATGACTTGAACCTGGGAGGCCTATGCTGTAGTGAGCTGTGATCATGCCCCTCCCCTCTAGCCTGGGCAACAGAGTGAGACCTTAAAAAAAAAAAAAAAAAAATGACTGCTAGGGAGAGTGAGAGCCAGGAAGAAGTCAGGATTCCAGGAACAGGAAGGAGTATGTCATCTCTTCCATACCTTCCCCACTGTGGGTATTTGCTCCTATTGTAACTTTGGTCACTGCATTAGCACTTTGAGGGTTTATTTGGTCATGACACCCCCACCCCCACCCCATACTGACACTTATAGTCTGACACCATTCCTCTTAGAGTTTATTTAGCCAGAGGTGGACCCAACCTGGATTAGAATCTCACCTCTGGGAATCTGGAACTGTGATAGCCTCCCCATGTGGTAAGAGCTATTCGCAATAGTAAAGCTGGAGGGTGGCCAGCCTGTCCATCGTGGACTAGAGAGGCAGAGGTGAGGAACAAGGGCACTGATGGTGCTGCAGTCCTGGGTTGTCAGACCCCTTCTGTCCATCCCAGGTTCTGATAATCTCCCCATGCCTTGTATCCTTAATCTTCCTTTTCCCTTTTTTGACTTTCGGTCACTTAGATTACTGTCAGTTGCAATCAAAGAATTCCAAGACAGCTATGGTTCTAATTAATTCTAACTAATACAGCTAATACATTAATGAACAACTGATTCTACTTAATACAGCTATGTGTGCTGAGGTGCCCTGGGACACTATGTTGCATTGGCAAGGGCACTTTGTTATATTTGTCTTTTATTTGGTTCAAGTTGTTGTGGTGTTTTTGAACAGACTGTCAGGGATGGGAAGGACTGATGCTCCAGGTGGCCATCTGACCCCTCATGGACAGGAGACCAGGACAAGCCCACTGGATGAGCCAGAGGGGTCCAGGAGGAGGGAGCTGAGAGCTTCCGCTAAGGTTGACACATGCTGGTAAGGAGTTCATCTGCTGTCCACCAGGTAGGTGGTGTACAAATCCAACTAAGTGTTTGGCTTTAAGGTTTTTTTTTTAAATTTTTTTGAGGCAGGGTCTCCCTCTGTTGCCCAAGCTGGAGTGCAATGGTGCCATCTCGGCTCAATACAACCTCCGCCTCCTGGGTTAAAGCAATTCCCCTGCCTCAGCCTCCCAAGTAGCTGGTATTATAGGTACATGCCACCACGTCCAGGTAATTTTTGTATTTTTAGTAGAGTCAGGGTTTCACTATGTTGGCCAGGCTGGTCTCAAACTCCTGACCTCAGGTGATCCACCCACCTCAGCCCCTCAAAGTGTTGGTATTACAGGCATGAGCCACCATGCCCAGCCTCATGTTTAAGGTTAATTTTAAAAGCAAAGCAAAATCCTAATCATGTTGAATTTTTGGTCTGCAGTAGATTCAAATTAATGAATTTAAATCAAATATCAGGTAAAATAGTACCTTGACATATTTTGTGATCATGCTGGGAGAAAAATTAATATAAACCTAGCTTAAAATTTTTAAATTGGTAAACCAAAAGATTAAACTTTGTTAAAATTTACAAAGAACATGCCACTATAAGAAGATCAGCTTTATTTTAGTAAAATCACCAACAAAACAATAAAAAGTCAAAACTAAAAAGAATTTTAATTGTGATCTGAAGTTTTATATTTCTTTATGAATTCCATTTAAAAAAAGAGAAATCTTTAAAACCATCAATAGGCAGATCTCTAATCCACTTTCAAGTCTTTCCCCACCAGCATTGCAGTCACGGGGTGCATGCTTGCTTTGTGCTCTTGGTAGGTTCGGACAGCTTGATCGTGGGACTTGTCAAAGGCAGCAAGATCCCTGCAAAAAAAAGGAAAAAAATGAAAAGAAAGAGAAAGAGATGAGAAAAAGACAGAGGAGGAGAAACAGAGGGAGGGAGAGAAGAGGGGAAAGGGGAAGGAGAAAGAGTGTAAGAACATAAGTCAATACCCAAAACTAAATTAAAGGATGTCAGTAGGGGTAACAGCCAATGTCACCAAAATAAGGCAGCAGTCCCAGCCAATCAGATGGATATGGTCCTGCTGCAGGGTCCTAGAGGCCTCCTCCTGTACCAGAGACTGGCTCTTATACTGGCAGATCAGACATTTTGCGGGAGTTACAGGGAAGGGCTAGAGTGGCTGGGACCAGTGGCTAATTTAGCAAGCAGCATGGAAGTATTTTATTATTTGAACAGTGACCTCTAATCTATTGCCTAAATATCAGCCCTGTATGTGAGAGTGTGCCTCAAAAGCTTTCTTTTTAAAAACTACTTTTTAAAATAAAAATTTTAATCACGATTTTAAGAGTATGAAAACACTAAATTTATAAATAGAATTTCTGAAAACTTCAAATAGGAAGTGAAAATCCTGACCACAGTGAAATAATAATAATGTTATACTAAATAAATAGGACCTACCATACAAAGTAGGATTAGTCATTTTTGATGTAACTACTATTTACAAATAAGACAGAAATATTTATTTTTCCAACAAAGGGTATCCACTTATTTAAAACCTAAAGTATACTTTACTCAATTGAAAGCTAGATGGGTTTTAATTATGGAAAGCATATAAAACATATTTAAAAATTAATTTTGTGGTCACATCAAAAGAGACAATGACTTATTTTGCCAAGTTTTATGATATTATATTGCCATCACTTTTAATGGCAAAAAACCACAATTACTTTTGCACCAACCTAAATACTTGTGAAGTAAATGGAAAGCAAACAGAAGTTATCATGGATGTTTATGGTATGACTTTTTCCCCCCAGAATTTAGGCAAAATTCACAGATAAAAAACTTCACTGAGATATTCTTAACCTATATTATTTTGCTGCCAAGAAACAACTTATCCCCTCTCACCAACAATTCCTTATTATATGTGCAGCAGCAACCTATCCTTGACCTCTTTGCAACACTGAACACAAGAGTTGGTGTTCTCTGCTTATTTCGCCTTACATTTAACTTCAGACTCGTTTTCTTGTCCATACCAACCCACCAATTATCTTCTACTGTGTAAGTCTGTAAGACTATCTTTATTTCCATTTCATCAGTGTCTAACTCTATTTGACCCATAATAGGTAATCCATATATAATGCTTCTGAAAAAAGAATGAAATTATTTCAAATTTTAAATATTTAGAAGTGTGAATCCCTATTCCAAAATTATATTGATGAACTTTAACAAATTAAAAAATATGTATCACATAGATTATGTTTTACAATGTATTTTAACAAAAACATTTGCGAGTTTTCTTCCTATTTCTTAGATGAATTCAAACCACAGTGTGGGTGGGTTCTTACTTGAACAAAGGCCGGGTAAACTTCATTCTTCCTTGTTCAGTTGCCATCTTTAGCGCCAAAGGAATTGCATCCTCCCACTTGGATTGAATGCAGAGCCGCAGCCATCTAAAAGGCGGGTTTTGGGGGAGCACGGGGTAGAAAGTGAGGAAGAAGGGGTAGGCTATGACAGGTGTATCTGGATATTATTTCTGTAGTGATGAATAACTGCACTATAATTATACTCTACACCACTTTACGGTATGTCCTGATTCTGAGACACTTAAATCCTTATATCTACAATTTAACAATTGGTGAAGAGAAGGAAGAAGAGCTGGTTCTTGAAAAAGATCATAAAAGGTCTGGATCAGGTAGGTGCTCATGTACCTTATAAATGCAGTTTCTGAAGGAATTAAACTTTGGTTAAAGCCTCAGATTATAAATTTGAATTAAGAAAGTTTAGCATAGAATAAAATATTTCTAACTATTCCCATTTCAAGGTAGATTTAGTTGGTTGTGGAGAAAGCCTATTTACCACAGAATCCTTCATGCTAATTTTTTTTTTCTTTTAAGGCAAGCGAGGTTTAGAGCAAAGTGTAACAAAGATTAATACTATCACCTTATACATTGCAACTATTCCTTAAATACCACTCTAAGTATTTATATAGAAGCAGTCAGTTTGACAAGGACTTCTCAAGACTCAAGTATGTCTCATACTCTGCATTCCCTTTCTCCACCTTTCAAAGGGGTTTTCTGCTTTCTTCCACAGAGACAAGTTAAAATGATGTACCTGAATCGTATTTCAGAATTGTTAATGGCATTGAAGTTGTACACCTCTTGCATTCGCTTTATGTGCCCCAATGGAAGAGGTGCCTAAGAGCAAAATAAAGAAGTATACCGTATCATTTCAACAGGATTCCTTGGAAGAAAGGAGCTGGAGAGAAATGCATAGCCAGATTAAAATCCTAAATATTTTATCATATAGAAATAAGATAAAAATAAACGAAACAAATTGCACACTAAAGTAAATTCTGTGCAGACTTATTCTGGATGAGGATATTCTACTGGGAAAGCACAGGGATAATTTACTTTGTGAAGTACTCAGATAATTTAATTAAATGAGAATTGCTCTTCTTAGGCTTTTCAGCATGTATAAATATTATCTTTCAGACCTTTCCTAGAGTTTTTCTAGTTATTCTCTATACCTTAAATACATTCCCTTCTCCAGATTAAGTCATAGTTCCTTTATTTTTGCCTCACTGATTCCCCCTAGCTTTATTTTTATATATTTCTTCTGAAATCCCTCTTAAATTATCTACATCCTTACATAATAGCAGTTCTTGGATGTATTATAGATCTCTTTGGGAATCTGATGAATAATGTGAACTCTTTCCCTAGCGGGGAACATACACCTACATGAATACAAACTTCTGTATACAATTTCAGGGGGTTCATAAGCATCCTATCCCTATCTTAACTCACCCTAAAAGGGAAGACAAGTTTGAGTGAAGGAAAGAAAAAAGATGAGTTCAGTTTGAACAAGCAGAGAGTTTGCAGTGCCGTTGAGTAGAGGCAGAGGTGCCTCTAGGTAGACAGTAAGTCTCCCCTCCAGCCACGACCTCCTTACCTTACAGGACTCCACACTCATTAACCATCTCTGCTCTCATCAACTACTAGCCCTGCTGCAAATAATTTCGTCCATTAGCCCCTTATGGACACATGCAACTCCAAGTCCACGCTGGTAGACCAACTGGTTAAGGTCATTGCCAAGGCTCCCTGACTTTCCCCAAGTTTTACCATACCCATTCTGGAATCACCCTACCATGTTCTCTCTCTCTGTGGCCCTAGGCCACCCAGCAGTGGTAGAGCAATTTATGAAACCATGATGACCTGATGCACTAAAAATAGATTCTCTTACTTTGACAGGGCTTCCCTTGTTGCCTCAAAATCCTATTCCTAATTTTTGCATCAATTCCACAGGAAATTCTTTTCCAAATCTTTTCCTTCCTTCTCAAGATCCTTAGCCTGAAGACTTCCATGAAAGGGAAGTCTTAAGAATCCACTCATTGGTTTATCTCAAAATACAGCATCTCCTTTCTGTTTCATATATTTTTTCAATTGCCTGGATTTGAAACCTTAACATCTGCTTGGATTCTTTTCTGTTAACCCTTATAATCAGTCAGTCACAGAACTCTGTGCTTTCACCCTGTGCAACCTCTTTTTCATTTGTCCTGTTCTCTCCTCTCCCGGCAGCTCACTTCAAGTCCTGTATTCCTGCGAGTCTCCCAATTAATAACTTCACCACCACACAGCTTTCGTGGTCCCAGATTCGTTGTCACAGCCCAGCATTTCATCCCCTAACTCTCCTGCTGGATTTTTAAAATCCTTTCCTACTGACCAGGATAAGATCTAAAATTTCTTAGCTTAGCATTCAAGAATCATCACATCTGATCCTACCAGCTTTTCTAGTGTTATCTTCACTGACTTCCTCACCCAGTGCCACTGTTTACTCTCGTAACGCTGCAGAGGAGTTCCAGCCCTTGCTGCTCCCTCCATCTTGAATTTCTTCCTCCCTGCTGGCCCTGGGGGTGCAAATCAAGTCTCCTCCAAAATTCCCTCTCTGATGCCCCCAGCTGGAAGACAGTCTTTCAGTTTTTCCAAATGATACCTAAAGTATATCTCCTTTTATTGCTAATTTAAAAAAAAAAAATTTTATCAGACAGAGTCTCGCTCTGTTGCCCAGGCTGGGGTACAGGAGCGTGATCTCAGCTCACTGCAACCTCTGCCTCCCAGTTCAAGTGATTCTCCTGCCTTAACCTCCCAAGTAGCTGGGATTACAGGTGCCCACCACCATGCCCAGCTAATTTTTGTATTTTTGGTAGAGACGGAGTTTCACCATGTTGGCCAGACTGGTCTCAAACTCTTGACTTCAAGTGATCTGCCTGCCTCAGCCTCCCAAACTGCTGGGATTACAGATGTGAGCCACCACGCCTGGCTTATTGATAAATTGTACATGTGTTCCCCTTCCTATTACATTATAAACTATTTGAAGATAAGCTATATTCTTACATATTTTTATATTTAGCACAATACAGAATATAGTAAGCATTCAGTGCTTTTTTAAAAGAAATGAATGAATTTTATAAATTATTTCTTCCCCATTAGTTTCCACATGAATACTCTTTTGCCAAGTTGGGTAGAACATAAATGCTGTGCCTTTCTATCCATTTTAATTTATAAGGTTTTGAGCTAGTACTTACCTTCTGGAGCATCTGTGCTAAAAACTCATTCAACTGATGAGAGGAGAGGTCTTTCAGGTCTGTGGCATTGAATGAATTTAAATCATCTTCTTTGGCCTAAAATAAATGTTACCTAGTTATTTTTGTTCATTTACAATTTAATAAATCTGACATAAAAGTAAAAATTAAGAACCATATGAATGTACAAGATTATTCAAAATTAATTTAAGCCTAAGTAATCCTGAGATTGAGTTACTGTAATTTAAATAGCTGATAGGACTCTTAGAATCTATATTACTTACGAAAAAGCAGACTGTGGGTAGGAAGAGTGGAAGAAAGTTTTGACATCCATTGTACCATTCGAGGTATAGAAATTTCCAAAGCAAAGAAATATTTCAAAATGTATGCATGTCGACTAATTTACAGACCGATTCAAAAATGTAGGTAAAGAATGAAATTGTATATTTTTAAATATTACATTAATAAATTGGTAAGGCTATAAACTAATGTTTTCCTCCATGCCCACATATTCTGTTTCTCCCACTTAATCTTAGAAACCACCTACGAAAAATGAGTCTGTACTTTTCAAATTTGGATTTATTCTCAAAAATCTTTGAAAGCTTGATTAGGTAATATTCAATAAAGCTTATCAAAATAAGGATTTTTAAATCTTTTAAAACTAGTTTTACATTCTTTTAAATTAGGGCTTTTGTTACTTTAAAAGAAATATATGCAAATAATAAAAAAATAAAATTGGACAGATTTGGTTTTGTTCCCTGTCTCCAAGTCCTACTCCTGAGTAACCAGTATTAGTAGTTTCTGTATATCCTTCCACGAAATCTAATGCATATGTATATACTGTATTAAAGAAATATTTTCCATCTCCCCCCTCCCCCGACTTTCAGAACTCTCCTTAATAGCAAAACTTCTATCCCCTTAACTTCTCCTTAATGTGAGAACCTACAACTCCCGCTCATTTTCTGTGCAAAAACCTGCAAATCTAAACTATATATTAATTAAGGATGTATTTATGTGGTAAAAACATAAAAAGCAAGAGAATGATAAAACAAAATTCAGGACAATGGTTACCTGGATGGGCTGGCAAGGAGGGTGGAGAGGGAAGGGGTCAGATGGGGAGGGATGCTACAAAGGTACCAGTAAGGTTTTACTACTTATGCTAGTGGTGGGTCACACAGGCATTGTTTCAGAATTGTTTTTTACATCTTATGAATCTAAATATTCTTTTACATTTATTTACTATTTAAGACAAATTCATTGAGAAATAAGATACAGAAGGAAAAGAGTGCACTAGTGAACACAATGTCCTGAGTCTGTTCCTAACTGCCTGTTTCTACTAATATTGAAGAGTTGCTCATTATCTACCTTAACTGCGGGGCCTAAAGGAGTATTTGCGCAGAAATTAGTAGCAGCTTTACTAGCACCAAACAAGCTGGAATACATTTTTCAAGCTGAAACAGAGATTCTAATACACTCACACTGTTAAGAAATCCTCTTTCGCACAGAAATCTCTAATACTTTTCTTTGTGACAAGTTTGTGAACTACAGAAAACAAAGTTCAAGAAGCAAGTATTATAGAAGAACAAAGCATTGTCTGTGGCAAGATGTGTTACCAGACTCCTCTCTTAGACAGAAATAATTAAGCCTTAGTTGAAAGAGCATACAATGAAACCATTCCTCCAACGTGAGCTCAGCACTACTCCAGGCTGAGTATTGACAGGCGAGTCATCTATGGGCACAACCAGCCTACTCTCCGATAGGTGGCTGCTAGAAGATCTTATTCCTTCCTTCCAAAAAGGAAAAAAACCCAGCAACAATCAGACTTGACCCTAGATCCAAATAGTAATTGGTAATGTTCTTTGTTGTGATGTTAGAAAAGTCTCCAAAAAGATGTTTATATTTTATTTGAAATTGGAGTGTTGCTTCTCTTGGTTTCTGGTTCCCTTTTTCCTGATTTGCCTTACTCCTGATTTGGTTTTTCTTCCTTCTTCTGGCTCTAAGGATGTTCTGTCAATACCTGGAGCTTTCTCTCCCCTTTCTTCTTCTCCAAGTCTAATCAGTTCTCAGGTTCTTAAATAGTTATAAAATTAAACCTCAATAATCATTCAACTTTTTTTTTTTTAAAGACAAAGTCTTGCTCTGTCACCCAGGCTGGAGTACAATGGTACGATCTTGGCTCACTGCAGCCTACCTCTGCCTCCCGGGTTCAAGCTATCCTCGTGACTCAGCCTCTGGAGTAGCTGAGATTGTGTACCACCACACCTGTCTAATTTTTGTATTTGTTCCATCTTAATTGATCCTATATGCTATACCGCCAGACTAATGGTCCTACTACACAACTCTGATCATTTCATTTGCAATTCAAAAACCTTTAAAGGATCCACTGCTGCCTATGCATTACATTTTAAATTCCTCAGCTTGACAAAATCCTCTGATAGGGAGCTACTTTATCTTTCCAACCTTGTTTTCCCTCTACTAATTCATGTATTCATCCAACAATGAATAAACATGGATGGCCCTGAGGATGCAGAGGTGAATAAAAACAACTCTTGCTCTCAAGAAGCTTATGGTCTGGTAGAAGAAACAAGGAAACAAATACAGTGAAAGCTTTCTTAAACGAACCTAAAAACAGACTCATCAGATAAACCCCTCCTCTCCATTCCTCTGTGTAATCAGCTGACCCTCAGAGCAGGTAGGCTGCCCTCTGGTGTCTGTGGCTCTTCTGCTCCCACTTGTTCATTCCTGCACTAAGTCAGCTGCATTGTTCCAAATGTGTTTATGTCAGTTGTGTCTCTAATTATGAAATCTTACCTTATCAAATCATAGGCAAACCAATGAAAGAGGGGTGCCAAAAGAAAAATTTCTAATACTAAGTTTTGTTGCTGCTTTCAATAGAATCCTTTGCTTAAACACTGTTCTTCTCACCGGAAGGTCCTCCAGCACCTCATCCGTGACCTAACCATCTTCAAATCTGGCTTTTGTAAGAAGTGCTCTCTGAGGCTGCAGCCAGTTCAAACTCCCCCAGCCCCAGGTGGAAGTTCTGTAATGGCTCCTTCTGTCGACCTCTTACTTCACCTGTATCATCTTCATGCTGCTCATCACTTACTGCTTAGCGTTTATTATTCCTGCATGAATCTATCTAATGTCTTAATTAAACCATAGATGCTTCAAAAGTAAATCCATCTCTATTTTTCATAGTGTGTGATGCAGCATTTTGTACGTAGTAATATGTGAAGAAATACTGGCCAAGTAAGCTTTAGAAACAAGTTTCAAAAGGCAACAGCTACATTGGTTGCACAGCTGGAGGCCATTATCCTAAGTGAATTAACACAGGAACAGAAAACCAAATACAGCATGTTCTCACATATAAGAGAGCTAAACGACTAGGTACTCATGGACATAAAAGTGGCAACAACAGACACTGGGGACTACTGGGAGGGGGGCAAGGATTGCAAAACTATTGGGTACTATGCTCAGTACCTGGGTGATGGGATCAAACATACCCCAAACCTCAGCATCATACAATGTGCACATGTAACAAACCTGCACATATGCCCCCGAACTTAAAAGTTGAAATTAAAAAGTTATATATCTGTTGCAAATTAATAGGAATGAAATTATTCCTAAATTTTCTGTCATTTTTTCATTAAAGGATTATCCAGGGCATGTCCTTACTTTGGCTTCAGAAAGGGTTATATTTTAGTACGTATATGAAGAAGCTTCTCTTTAAGAAGCTTCATAGAAAGTGAACAAAGTTACTGACAAAGCAAAAGTGCCTCGATTCTTCCCATCACTAAGAGCATTAGCAGTTAGTCACCCAAGATCATTTTACATTTAGGTGGTATGTGTAATTGCCATATTGGAAGCAGTATCTTATAAATTATTTAAAAGGAAAAGAAGAAAGGTAAGATACAAATACTTTTGCATACTTTAAGAGTTAAGCAGCAAGAAACATCAGGATTAATGCCCTCAACATCTGTTTTTTCCCCCCCATAAAACTTAATTTTCTGGGCACAGCGGCTTGTGCCTGTAATTCTAGCACAGTGGGAGAATCGCTGGAGACTGGGAGTTTGAGACCAGCCTGTACAACATAGACCCTGTTTGTACAAAAAGTTTTAAATTAGCCAGGCATGGTGGCTCACACCTGTAGTCCCAGCTACTTGGGAGGTGGAGGTGGGGGTGACTGACTGAGCCCAGGAGGTTGAGGCTGCAAGAGCCATGATCGTGCCACTGCACTCCAGCCTGGGCAACAGAGCAAGACCCTGTCTCAAAACAAACTCTTAATCTTCTACGTTGAGAATAGATATAGTATCACCTTATATAAATCTGACTTTCAAATAGCCTTTCCAAATACAATTTTTTGTGATTTAAATTACCCTTCCCCCTTCATGAGTAAAGACATATTTCACAATTCAAAAAGGAATAAAAAAAACCACACATTATTACTTACAGTAATCCATTTTTGACTTAAGGCAATACAGGCATTTGTCAGAGTCATATCATAACTGCAAAGATAAAAGTTAAAGATTAAATTGTATAAAAATGCCCATGCTTTTGCAGAAATGCAGTTTTAAAGCTACAGTACATAAATTTCAAAGTCCCTTTTAAATAAGGAAAACAAACTCCAAAGTGATGAAAATAGGAAATATTTTACCTAACTTACATACTCACAAATCCAAGTGGATTAATCCACACTAATGAAACACCTGTCTAACTTTTAGAGAGAATGCCAAAGCACCTCAGTAAAAGACTGTCATGTGCTCAAGTAGTATATGTTAAAGTAGTTGAAATCAGTTGCACATATTTAGTGTATGGCAGTAAATATGGCACTCAAAAGACAACATGATGAACAACACAAAGTCCTTGTTCTCATGGATTTTACTTTGTTGTTCCAAACATCTAATCATCTAACAAACCTGCAAGCACCTGCTACATAACTGGCACTGTTCTAGATTCTAGACCTTTGAGAGAGTCTGATACCATGTGTAATGATTCCATTCCTTTCTTTTCAGAAGAAAATAAAATTAACACATTGTAATTGTTAACCAAAGCAAATTATATCAACATTTGTGTGTTCTCAGCTTAGAAGTCATATAGTTTGCAACAATGGAAAAGAACATGTAGTATGCGCAAAATTCTTGCAAAACTTCCCTCTTTATCTATAAATCGTGCTTGCTTACTCTGAAATGCTTGTATTAGAGAACAGAGAGGCACCTTCCCCTTAAGGCCTAAATGAAGTAAGTTCTGATTAGAAGTTACCACTGAACCTCCCTTTAAGAGAGTTGTGACTAGTACTCCCCATTTGTTCCCTAGAGGAGATAATAAAGGAGCCAACACAGCTCCCACCTCGAAGCAGCTGCCAGTTTATTACATGAAGTGTCAGATTGTAGACTGCAGGCATGCCATTTTGTCCTCAAGAACAGGTGGGATCAGAGGTCCTTGGCTGCTCAGGCAGTACACTGCCTTCAACTAAAACAACAGCATTGATTTCTTAAAAAACAGTAGAAAAGGCTGGACGCAGTGGTTCACGCTTGTAATCCCAGCACTTTGGGAGGCCAAGGCAGGCAGATCATGAGGTCAGGAGATTGAGACCATCCTGGCTAACACAGTGAAACCCCATCTCTACTAAAAATACAAAAAATTAGCCAGCCGTGGTGGCATGCATCTGTAGTCCCAGCTACTCAGGAGGCAAGGCAGGAGAATTGCTTGAACCCGGGAGGCAAAGGTTGCAGTGAGCCAAGATCATGCCACTGCTCTCCACCCTGGGTGACAGAGCTAGACTATGTCTCAAAAAAGAAAAAAATGGGCAAGTAGAAAACTTTTGGCTGGTCTGTTTCTTAGTGTCCTGAAACTTCCTTATAAGTGTAATTAAAAGTACTAAGTTAAGAATTAGCCTGGCAAAGGACCCTACTTACGGCAAAGTCTTAAGAAAAGTAAAGAGCAAAACCAGATATGTACCTTGTTCTCATGGTGCTTACAGTATAGCAAAGGGGAAATACTTTAATCACACAAATAAATGTACAGTTAGAACTGTGCAAATGCTGCGAAGAGAGGAAAGAGCACTAAGAAGCCCTAGAATGGAAGATTTGACCTGGGCAGGGATGTCAAGAAATGCTTCCATGAGGAAGTGGTTCTTGAGCTGAGATTGGAATTAACTGGGCAAAGGGCTCTAGGTAGAGGGAACAGCACGCTCATGTACTATGTTGGAGGACACACGGAGAGTTCGAGAAATCACAAAACTGCCAGTGTGACTGATGCAAAGGGAACTAGACTGTTAGTAGCTTAGAATCCCCATTAAAGGATTTTGTCTTAGCCCAAGAACAAGGAGACATCAGTGGAGAATGCTAAGCAGGAGGACACCATGACACGTTTGTGCTTTTAAAGGTTTACTCTAGCTTTAATGTGGAGTGGCTGGGAGAAGTCAGAAAAGATACAAGTGCCCAGTTTGGGTGCCAGAACAGTCTTCCAGGATGTGAAGACATGAGACTGAACTTGAACTGTGGTGGTAGAAATGGAGAGATGTGGATAGACTCAAGAGATATTTAAATACATGTACAAATGATGAGAGCATTATAAAAAGAGGATCATGGAAGCCAAGATTCCGTGCAATGGATCAAAGTATTTTCTGTGGTTTGAGATTTTCTAAGATACTCTCTCTTTACAGAATTCCTGGGCATTCCTGGGCACAGGAATGATTCCAGGGTTCCTCCAGCACTTTGGTATTACTTGAAAGCAATCTTAAGGAATCTAGAATGAACCAAGGCCCAAAAAGGATTCCTTAGCAGTGGTAATATCAAAGAAGCCCTTTCCAAGAACTAATTTTCTACCCAGATTTCTCTAATTTTAAAAGCAATGGTCAAAGCCTTCCCCACTCTTAAACTTCCAGGAACTGTCTTTTGCCCTTATCAGGTCCCTGAAGTTAGAGTCTTTGAAAAGACTCCAAACTCCAAGTTCTATGCTTTTATTCTCAGCCTCCTCATAATTATACAGCACACTGCACTGCTGACCACTCTCCGTACCGCTTTTAAAGTATTTCTTCCCACAGCTTTCTTAATAATGAACTAACCTTTGAAAGCTCTTTTTAATTTTCCATTTATTTCACTAGTATCTTTCCTCTGTCCTAGCTCTCAATGGAGAACCTCTAAGGTTCTAAACTTTACTTCTTGTATTCTTCTTTGTTAGTCATCTCCAAGACGATATCCAAATCCATAACCATTAAAATTAATAGTTTCCTCAACTGCAACACTTACTCGGTATTTTTTTAAATACTTTTCTTTATATTAATAATTACCTGATACATACATGTTCGCTCTGTGAATTCCTTATTCATCATATTAGTGCCTGACAACAAATGTATGCTGGATTGAGCTGAATCTTTACAACATCTCTGCTCAGTCATTTTTAATTTCTTCTTTTCTCCCCACAGCCAATCAGTTGCCAATAGATTCTAACCCCCAGACATCTCTTCTCTCAATTACTCCTTTCTTTTCCCACTGCCTTTGTATTACTTCAGGTCCTCATAATCTCTGGTAAGGCTGTTGTAAGAATTAACAAGATAATGTACAGCACTTCTTCAACACTGTAAGTGCTAGAAAAAAAAATCTAGAGTATTATTTTTGCTGATACCTTTTATAGATGTTAAAAGGGTTTACTGATAATTTGTGCCACCTGTCTGTTTCCAAAACAAAACTCGAAACATTCTATTGTAATCACCCCTCCCTGACTGAGCTCCTGTTTCCCACCAGAGTCTGTGATAACCAGGACTGCCCAGTTAGTGGGCAACTCTGACCACATCTCTTCTATACTCAAAACTCCCAATAACTTATCAACCAAACCCTTCTCAGCCTGGCTATTTAAAGTGCTTTACAAACAAGCATAACTAGGCCTTGTTTCCTAGCTTCTCTCCTGCTGCTCCCCTGCACATCAATTAAACACTGGCCTGTTTAAGAGAAGCTGATAGGCAATGTCAGTAAACCAGAAGAAAGGCAACAAGAGGCTGGAACATGCAATAGTCAGTATTCTCACATAACTTGTGAAAGACCAGGGTTCAGGTCCGATTTAAGGAGAAGGTTCAGTATAAAAAGCAGTATATTGAGGCCAGGCATGGTGGCTCATGCCTGTAATCCTAGCACTCTGAGAGGCGAAGGCAGGCAGATCACTTGAGCTCAGGAGTTCGAGACCAGCCTGGGCAACATGGTAAAACCCTGCCTCTCACAAAAATACAAAAACTTAGCTGGGTATGATAGTGCGCATCTGTGATCCCAGCTACTTGCAAGGCTGAGGTGGGAGGATCATGTGAGCCCAGGAGGCAGAGGTTGCAGTGAGCTAAGACCACACCACTGCATGCCAGCCTGGGCCACAGAGTGATGGGGTGGGGAGGAGCGAAGAAGGAAGGTTATTGGAGGCAATAAAATTGCCAGGGTTTGAGTCCCAACTTTTACTACTTACTAGCTATGCAACCTAGGGCAAGATACTTTACCTAGCTAAATCTAACGTACCTCCTTGGGAAATGGGGATAATAACTTACAACAGTGTTGTAATTAACATAATACTTACAAAATATTTTTATTGCAAAAGTTTGAAGGAAGAGACAATAGCTTATTCTTTTCTAAATCCCTCACCATGCTTGTGCAGAAAAGAGCCAATCAATAATTACTTGAAGTGAAAAACCATACTTGTAAACTGCGGGAATTATTCTTTTGGCCTCAGGGCTAAGGCCAAAACACCTTAAGAACTCTGCTCTCATCATTAACTAGTAACAGTTTCAAGAACGCATATTATTCTTTCTGATATTTTGAGGGGCTCTAGGATTTAGGAGAATGAGAAGGAAGCATTAGCAGGCAAGTACGTACTTGGGTTTTATAGGAGGCAGTCCAGGAGAGTAGAGCCAGGCATTCCAATCAACTTGATTGAGAACATCAACCTGTGAATAGTAAGAATTCACAGTTTACAACAGAATACCCTTTCCTGTTGAAAAAAAAAATTTAAACAAACTTCTAAGTCCTTAGATATATAATTTTGTCTACTCTGCCATATCAAAATAATTTCTAAATTTCTTTTAAAAATTAATATTTTAGGCCAAGCATGGTGGCTCATGCCTGTAATCCCAGCACTTTGGGAAGCCAAAGGTTGGCAGATCACCTGAGGTCAGGAGTTCAAGACCAGCCTGACCAACATGGAGAAACCCCATCTTAAAAAAAAAAAAGTAATAAAAAATAAAAATATTTTAAATTGATAGATCATAATTGTGTATACTTATGTGACACAATGCACTGTTTTGATATATGTATTCAACGTGGACTAAGTCAAGCTAATTAATATATCCATCACGTCATCTATCTTCTAAAATTTATATTCATCACTAGTATGCTGTTAAATAAAATAGAAAAATTAAGCACTTATAGAAAATCAAATTCTGAACCTATTATTGACGATCTCTCTGAAGTAGGAAAATTCTACAGTTAGTTCACGTGGTTGCGATCACATTTAAGATAGAAAAAATATGCAATGAGAGATCGAGTTCTATAACAAGTTCTGAACCAATACTATTATTAGATAATTCAAGTTAACCTAATCAGTCAATAAATAGATTATACTGAGCATGAAAAATAGAAAAGGTTTTAAAATCCAACCTTATCTTTAAAATGGGAATACAGGAAATCCTTCCAGTCATCAGTAGTTATGCTCTTATAGGAAAATTTCTCAACATAAGCTTTTAAGAATCCTAGGAAAACCTCTAAGAGTAAAAAAGAAAAGAAATCAATTCATGAAAGGTAGTTATGTGACATTTTGTGTGTTTGGCATTGTACTATTAACTACAGAGAACAGAGAACATTCAGAGAATAAGGAAATCTATGAAAATTTTCAGAGTGAAAGGATGTTCAGAAAAGGAGGTGGGACTTAAGTTGGGCCTTGAAGAATATATGTAATTCAGTGGAAGGGAGAAGAGAACTTCTAATTATAGATAAGGGGGTAACACAAAAAAGGAATGTACAACCCAAGCTTTAAAAGCAATTAACCCTCATATGACTAGAAAGGAGAAAAATAAGACTGGACAGGTGGAATGGATCCAGGTGACAGACAGCCTTCCAAGTCAATTAACCAGGAGAACACCTCAATGTCCAACAGGGGATGGGTACATAACTCAGCATATCTTTGTAATGAAATAGCATGATGGCATTAAAAAGTATCAGACAGATTTGTATGTACTGACATAGGATGTATGTGAAATATTGAGCAAAACAAAACACAAATGCAGAACCAATGTACAGTATGATCCTTTTTTTGTAATTAAAATAATTATATGTATTTATTTGTCTGCTTGTTAATTTACACCTAGAAAAAGATCTGGAGCCATACACACCAAACCGCTAACAGTGGTTACCCCTGGGGAGTGGAAAGGGGTTGATGGACTCTCACTTGTTACTCTTATAAACTTCTGTACCATAGAAATGTTTTCAGGGAGTACTACTATCCTAATTTCAAAAACTAATGAGATTTTTTTTTTTTTAAATGAAGCAGCATAATTTAAACCTTAGGGGTTATTAATGGTTTTAAATTGAGAGAAACATTAGAAAACAATACAGATTTCTTCAGCAGCTACATGCAGAATGAATTGGAAGTATTAAATGGCACAAAACAATAGTTTACAATTCTTCCTAATTGTTACCCTCAAAAATAAAAATAAAAATAAAAAAATTATAAAATACCCACTACTCACCTGGTCCTCCAAGCAGTTGCTCAAGGTAAAAAAGTAAAGCAAAGCCCTTCTCATAGGGAACTGAAGAATAAGCTACATCAGGGTCTACATCTGTCAGATCAACCACAAGTTTGGTGAAAGGATGTGTCTCCCCAAATGTCTTCACCTGCAAGACATGAAATTAGATGGATATTCGTATAGAAAGACTGTATCACCACACAAATAAGCTAATAAGGAAGTATTACTTCACTCAGTGGTGTAACTTTAGGGGAATCTAGAACTTAAACTTGGAGATTGGAATACTAGGGTATGTTGGCATACACTTCTGGAAATCTATTAATAGAATGCTTACTTATGTAATGTTCTCTGATATTTCTTGCTCAATAATATAGGCTTTATTCTTATACAAAGACTAGAAAAATGATTTAATGCCTGGTCAGCAAATTCGGCTTTCAGGAGACAGCATTTAAAAAATGACATAAATGTACCAAATAAAATTCAAACACAATAAACAGCTATATTAATAGCAAAGACCAGCGAGGTCCCATAGCTCCCAGTTTAGACCAGGTCATCAAAACTACCTTACACAGAAAAATGAATGGCATGGGATCAATACAATGTTATACCAGCATCGACTTCACTTTCCACATTTGTAAAAATGACTTTTTGGTTGCTACATAGTAAAGGTGCTTTTACAAAAACTCAGTTTTTAACACCTATACAACTTCAGATGAAGGTTTTTAAAACTTTGACTCCTTTACCGAATTCTGTAGTTCTCCCCATCCTCCCAGAGCATTAAAATGTCTGAACTTTTCACCAAACAATCGTCCGCAAATGTGGCGTTCCAAGTACACAGTATGTCCCTCATTTAACCTGAAAAAAAGTGTTTTAATAAAAGCACGGACACGGCAGAGAAGAAAAGGCATTTCAATCAAGAAGATATTTTCTTTTTGGCTTTTCTACAGAGGAAAGCAGTTGTAAGGCATGACCACTACAGTCTAAGCCAAATCTGGCTCCCAGGCAGTCAATCCAGACCAATGGGAAGCCCAGCCCAGCAGATGGCAGCAGGGAAAGTTAAGCCCTGGTTCTGCTCTTGCATGCCCACATGTTAAAAGTGTGACTGTATCAGGAACTAGACAAACATAAACTTAACACCTAGAGTGAACCTAACACTATAATAAGTGTTACAGAATTTTTTTTTAATATCCTTGTTGTCTGGGCACGGTGGTCCACATCTGTAAGCCTAACACTTTGGGAGGCCAATCAAGGTCAGGAGTTCGAGACCAGCCTGGCCAACACGGCAAAACCCATTTCTACTAAAAATACAAAAATTAGCTGGGCATGGTGGCATGCACCTGTAGTCCCAGGTACTCAGGAGGCTGAGGCACAAGAATCGCTTGAACTGGGAGGCAGGCGTTGCAGTGAGCCGAGATCATGCTACTGCACTCCAGCCTGGGCAACAGAGTGAGATTCCACCTAAAAAAAAAAAAAAAAAAAAAAAAAAAAAATCCTGTTGGCTGGGCATGGTGGCTTATGTCTGTAATCTTAGCACTTTGGGAGGCAGAGGTGGGCAGATTACTTGAGCTAAGGAGTTCGAGACCAGCCTGGGCAACATGGTAAAATCCTGTCTCTACAAAAAATACAAAAATTAGCCAGGCACAGTAGCATGTGCCTGTAGTCTCAGCCACTTGGGAGGCTGAGAAGGGAGGACTGCAACCCTGGAGTTGCAGTTAGCGGAGATCACACCACTCCACTACAGCCTGGGCAACAGAGTGAGACCTTGTCTCCAATTAAAAAAAAAAAATCCCTGCCTACAAAAGAGATGGCAATGAAGAAAAACAAGAGATATACACAAAACAATTCTGAGTGGTAGGAGGCAGGGGAAAAAAAAATCAGTAACAAGAGCCAATAAATAAACCATAACAAAAATCTTACCAAAAGTGATCCCAAGTTTTGTTGGTCACTAAATTCCCTGTCCAGCTATGAGATATTTCATGTGCAATGACCTACAGAAAACAGTGCAAGTGATTAATAGTAAGACTGATTATCTTAACCTAAAATAACCCATTCTGTAAACACTCTGTGTTACTCAATTGTTAAAAAATATTAGCTGAGACTTTCAGGGAGTTAGTTCAGCAAAAATCTTTAATTTAACCAAAGACACACATACAAATACGATATCAAGTAATTAGAAAACACAAATTACTTAGAAAATACTAGATAAATCACTGCATTAAACATGTTTCATAAATATATGAAAAGATCAAACCATAAAATGTCCTTAAATCTACTAAATCTAATTGTTAATATAATAATGTGACAAGAGTCCCCAAATTGTCTTTTATAACTATATCTTTAACGTAAAAATGCAAAGAGCGTTTTAAAATCAGTTGATTGTAACACTTCTTGACAGTAAAGCCATAATGAAAAAGTTAAACTTACATTGGAGAGTGACTTGTCTCCTGCCTACAAAAAAAGAAAATTATGTTAGTATTTTAGTAATCAAATTACAGACTATCTAAAACATTGCCTACCTAAACACCTAGTATACTGGCACTGGTGGTTCACTGCATTTCTACTACAGCACGTCAAAGAGGTTAAAAGAGACATTAATTGAAAACACAAAAAAATACAGAAGTAAAAATTAGCATCATTTTTTCTTGCCCTAATTCTAGGGAATTTTTGCAATACAATGAGAGCCAGTCTATTTGTGTCTAACTTCCATGAAACATTCCTTCTACTTCCATTTTTATATCTGCTCTTATTTACCCATCACTTTCTTTCTCTCCTATTACCCAAAATATATTAAATAAAACTTTAGAGTGTCCTATGTGTCCTGTGGTGTATTTTACTTATTTTATTGCTAATTCATCACTCATTTGGTTCTAGGAAGAATTTAAAGTAGCTCACAGGCATAGCAGTGTACCATGGGCCTAATCCTTTCCTATACATGGTGTACTGATTTTTTTTTCACTGTACCTAAATTTTTTTAAATTTACCAAGTGTAAATGGTTTAGTTTGTTTGTCTGGATACATAATTTATCAATGAATTGTTGTTACACAGCACCCCCACACCCAACATCCCCAAATACCATGAACATAATATTCTCCTTCCCTAAATGGCCAGATTATTTTCCTTTCAAAAACGAGATTGAAGGCCGGGCGCGGTGGCTCAAGCCTGTAATCCCAGCACTTTGGGAGGCCGAGGCGGGTGGATCACAAGGTCAAGACATCGAGACCATCCTGGTCAACATGGTGAAACCCCGTCTCTACTAAAAATACAAAAAATTAGCTGGGCATGGTGGCGTGTGCCTGTAATCCCAGCTACTCAGGAGGCTGAGGCAGGAGAATTGCCTGAACCCAGGAGGCAGAGGTTGCGGTGAGCCGAGATCGCGCCATTGTACTCCAGCCTGGGTAACAAGAGCGAAACTCCGTCTCAAAAAAAAAAAAAGAAAAAAAAAACGAGATTGAGGCCAGGCGTGGTGGCTCGTGCCTATGAGCCTAGCACTTTGGGAGGCTGAGGCGGGTGGAACATGAGGTCATGAGATCGAGACCATCCTGGCCAACATGGTGAAACCTCGTCTCTACTAAAGGTACAAAAATTAGTTGGGCGTGGTGATGTGCGCGTACAGTCCCAGCTACTTAGGAGGCTCAGGCAGGAGAGTCACTTGAACCCGGGAGGCAGAGGCTGCAGTGAGCCAAGATCATGCCACTGCACTCCAGCCTGCGCAACAGAGCCAGACTCCATCTCAAAACAAAAACAAAAAAGAAACGAGATTGTGATAACCACAATAAACAATAAAATTAGAAACAAGGGTTACATGAACAAGAGAAGATTTTTATATGTATATACATTATTAGGACTCTAGGGTTCTTTACATACATATACACACACACACACACACACACACACACACACACACACATATTATTAGGACTCTTAAGGTTCATTCTAGCTAAGTGTATTTTTGAAAGATGGCAATTTCAAATGAAGAAATATTTACACTTACCAGTAGAGTGGGGGTTACAAAAGTAAGGCAAGGATTCTCCATGCCACCATAAGGGAAGGACGGTGGCAGGACCAATAGGTCATATTGTCCCCATACATATGGTCCTCCCAGATCTTCTGCAATTTTAAGCATAGATTCAGTCTGAAAAATGAACACATATATGTTTGTATCTCTTAATTATCAGCATTGTACATTTCTTAAAATCGTATACTGCTTTCTATGAAGGTTACAAGTTGATGCTTACTTTAAATGAAAAGGATAAAAAGAGTGTAGCAACTGCAAATCTACATAAAAGACAATCTGATTTTTTCCCTGTATCACTTAAAACTATCACATTTCACACTGAAAATCTTCAATCTACTGTCTATCACAACGATTACAAAGAAAAACTACATGACCAACCTCAGAAAACTCGTAAGCAGACTTTTCCACCTGCTCTTTCTCAGACCACACCAAAGTTCTTGGGCCAATTTGCCTGCAAGATTAAAAAGCTTAATAAAAAAGAAATTCACAGCAAATGGTTCATCTGATTCTAAAAGGTATTTAACATCTTACAGACAAAACCTTACAGTGAGAGTACATTTATCATGTGCTTCTGGGAAAGGGATGAGGTTAAATGGCATGAGCTGCAAACCTGCTGTTGTATATGCAGCAATAGATATGCAGCTCTCTAAGGAGGTACAGGCTAGGCCATAGGAAAATCAAGAGGCAAAGTGTCCCCAATTAGTTTGTTGCCTCTTAAAAGACCTCTTGGGAGTCTCATTTCATCCCTCAATCTCACAATTATAGAAATCTAGTCACAACTCATAAGAAACTATTGGATACAGGGTCTCACTCTGTTTCCCAGGCTGAGTGTAGTGGCACCATCACAGCTTACTGCAGCCTCTGCCTCCTGGGCTCAAGCAGTCCTCCTACCTCAGCCTCCTGAGCCGCTGGGACTACAGGCATACACCACCATGCCCGACTAATTTTTGATTTTTTTGTAGAGACATGGGCTCACTTATATTGCCCAGGCTGGTCTCGAATTCCTGGGCTCAAGCAATCCTCCCACCTTGGCCTCCCAAAGTCATGGGAATACAGGTATGAGCCACTGAGCCCAGCCTACAAGACTATTCTAGAAAAGGAAGGGGTATAAACTTTGATATGCACTTAAAGGTTGAATACTCTTCTATAAGAAGAAATAAATAGAAAAGGAAGGAAATCCTGTCAGATGCTATAACTTGGATAAACCTTAAAGTCATTACACCAGATGAAATAAGCCAGACACAAATCATACTGTACTATTCTACTTATGTAAGTTATCTAAAGTAGTCAAATTCACAGGAACAGAAAATAGAACGGGCAGTCAGGGGCTGGCGGTGGAGGTGGGGGAGAGGAGCTATTATCTAATGCTACAGAGTTTCAGTTTTGCAAAGTAAAAAATTTCTGAAGATCTATTTCACAACAAGGTGAATATACTTACTACTGAACAGCACACTGAAAAACAGTTAAGTGTATTTAAAACTAAGAACAAACAAAAAATTAAGAAGGAAGGGCACTCTAGCTATTGGTAAAACATTAATAAAATATCTTACGTATCTGTAATATTTGTAGGCTTCCAAGTGCTTTAATATATTTTATCTCATTTGTTTCACATAACCACCCTATGAGGTAGGAATGTAAGACATTATCATATCTAGGATAAGAAACAGAGATTAAAAGTGACTTGTTCAAGCTTACAAGAGAATTCAGATCTTTAAAGGTAAAAGCATGCTCATTTTACAATACTTGAAAAATCTAAGGGGTAACTGGTCAAGATTTTTAAATGTAAAATTAATTTGCTGCCTACATTTTATATTTAGATTTGAATTTTTCTAGAACTGTCGGCTTGATTATCTGAAGAAATAGGCAAATCATCAACCAATTAACCTTGAGAGACGTTCAAGACACCTAAGTTTTGATCTTTTCACAAACCTGAAAATTTTTCCAAAAGCTCACCTGCTTTCTAAAGCTCCAACAACTAAAGCAATCAGGTAGCAGGGAATCGGCACCTAAAGAGGGCAAACAAACGCACACGCCGGGCTTCCATTAGTGTTCACAAGTGTCACGTGGTAAGTCAATTCAGATTTAAAAGTAAGTAAATTCCCTTTCAAATCTCCTAATATTAGTAGGGATAACTTTCCTTTTATATTTCTCATATAGTTCTCATTTGCAACATATAGCTTGAAATGGTGATACAAAACATTGTTCAAAACATGTATTTTCCTCTTATTCTACTTGGAACAAAAGCTTCTCACATGTGAAAAACAAGATCACGCATACTATTAAAAGGTGCATTTTAAGCTTGTCTCAAAAAGCACTCCACAGAAAGCAACTGTGCTTTTCTTGTGTGTTTGTCTTTTTCCTTCTGATTTTTAAAATGTTTTGTTGTTTCAAAGCACTATTGGCATGTTGTAGAGACAGAGTAACTTGACAATAAGTAGATGCCAAAGTTATGGGAGCTTGGAACCACAGAAGCTGCAGTGGAAGCCAAATTATGCATTGTGAGGTCAATTAAGAAAACACACACACACACACACACACACACACACACACACACACACACTCTCTCTCTCTCTCTCACTCTCTCGTTCTCTCTCTCTCTCTCACGCATCCATACACATGCTGTTCATTAAAGCTCAAAGATACCTGTCTAATTACCAGGACCGTAACTGAGTGCTTTTTCGGTCTTGACTCCTCCATCTGCAGACACTCTCAACAGCCACTTGCCCACACCATAGTACCAGGGTAGGTGAAAGCGTAAGAACACAAAAAAACAGGAAGCCAGCCCCTGACTGGAGTGAGGGAAAATGAAAACAGGCACGGTCCCTACTGTCTCTACAACAAACCCTCTCTTCAACGCAACACTCTGTAAGCAGGACAAAATCCTTTAAAAGCACAAAAGAAAAAGAAATGAAGAAAATAAAAACCAAAAGCTGTTCTCAAAATTCTGAAATATTTCAAAAGTAATTTTGCCCTCTGGATGTGTACAAGCCAACTGTAGTTTACTGCCAATGAAAACAAAAATCTAGACCCTAGGACCTTACTTTTTGGATGAATTTGTATATTTTCCTGCTTGGGTCTTCTGGGTCAGGTGCTTCTCCATCACGAATAGCACTCATAAGTGCCACCAGTTCTTTAGGGACAGACACCTAAATCAAGGAGACAAATCATTTCTAGTCATAAATAAAAGCTTCTATGTGTCTTAAACTACATATGTAAAATAACCTTTTCCTGCCCTTGACTGATAAACAGACTATGAACACAGAAAGTATATATATATAAATATATATAAATGTGTAAGTATATAAATATATATATAAAAGTATATATAAATATATATAAATTTATAAGTATATATAAATATATATAAAGTTTATATATCTATACAAAAAGTATATATATATACACATATCAGTTTTATAAATAAAATTAGCAATATGGAAAACTGGCTTCTTTAAAAGCGAACGTGAATTTCTATCCATTCACCCATGTACATTAAGAGCAGAGTTTTGGTAGAAACTGGATTAAAATCCCAGTTCTGCCATCTACTAACTAACTGAACAAACTTGGGCAAATAAATATATCCCCTGAGCCTCAGTTTCCCCATCAAGTAAGTGTAAAACTTCAAAGGCTTGTTGCAAGAAATAAATAAGAGTCCAGCACCATGCCTGGCAATGGCAGCCACCATCCCTGCTCCCCTGACACTCACAAAACAGATTCAAAAGGACATTATACTCACTGTAGGACAGAATAGTTTTGAACAGCTTTGTTTTGACACTTGGAGTTACAAATAGAGGAACCTTTTAAAAGTAGTAGCTGTGAAAAATTAAAATTTATTGCCAAAAATTGTCAAACAATTTTCTCTGGAAATCTGTATGGAAAAGACCCTTATGGGTCATTTAACTGTGTATCCTAGCTCCGTGATTCTGAAAGTTTAATTTCTGACGAATGCCAGAATAAAGAACTCTGCCAAGTATTAATGATCAAGCAAGAATACATTCCAGCAGGGGCTAGAGTTTCATGTTCTTCTTGCATGGCTCAGGAGGCAAAGCACAGAATTTCTGATGAGGCAGGCACAGAATTAGGAGCTCCTGAACCAGTGCTACAACAATTCTAGATTCTAAAGCACAAAAGCATTCAGGAAATAATGTGGTTTAGCCACCTTCCTTCATTTAGGTGGTGATACTTATATACATGAGCCAACTTAGGTTGTGAGGTCATAAAACTTGCTCACGGGTCACATCATTATTTATTTATTTTTTTAGAAATGGAGTCTTGCTATGTTGCCCAGGCTGGCCTTGAACTTCTGAGTTCAAGTGATCTTCCCACCTCAGCCGCCCGAGTAGCTGGGACTTCACACAGTTATTAAGTGGTAGAGAAGAACCAGAGCCCTGGAATTTTTTGCCTCCAAGTATAATACATCACTGCACTATCCTAGGTGTAATTTGGTTGTGGGATGATTTGGGAAGTAAGAAGGCCCCGTAAATACGGGCTAGTACTCATTCTATTTGCTTGGTCTAAGTAGGTCTAGCCTCTGGTATACGGATTATTTAGTAATTACAGTCCACTTTTTCCAAAAAGGATTAGCGGTACCTACCAAAGGAGTAAGTTGGAATTGTATACAGACAAGTCTGGAATATATGCCCACTAGGTTTATATGGCTACAGAATGCATTTATAGAAACCTGAATCCTGCAAATGTCAATTTTTAAAAGTTAAATAAAAATTGTTCCTAAGTTCTTATTTTTAGATCCAAGATCTTGAATTCCTTTTTAAATGTCAGATTGGTTTCCATTTCCTTTTTTTCCACAGTTAAAATGTTTAAAACTGCTTTTAAAGTAGAGATTCAGAATGACTGCCACAGCCTCTTTTTTATATATTTCAGTAGAATTTCATTAAGAAAAATAATTCTAAGAGGAGGAAAATAGAAAAATAAATAAATAAATAATTCTAGCTCTAAGAATTCAATTAATATCTCTGCTTATCATTTATACTGTATTTGCTGATTTGCATCATTTAATTCAGCTAATAATTTGTAATAATTACCTCTGCAGTATAGGTTAATTTCACAGAAGGAGTGTCCTGACAAGGAAGGACTGCTCTGCAGTGGATGGCCTGAAAGAGGGAGAAACAAGAAGAAATAGTTATTTCTCTATCTTATAAATCAAGTCATTAAGAAATCATTAAAAATTGCAGCATTGTTCTTACACACACACACACACACACACACACACACACACACACACACACACACACAGATTTATTTATTTATTTATTTAAAATAGGTCTCATTTCTTGGGATCTTTAAAGTCCAAAAATAGATTCTTGGACTTTTACAAAATCAGATTTTCCACTTTAATCTATGGTTAACTCTCACATTTCAGCTGAAGCATGGAGAAATTATTAAGCACTGTTTCCTACTCTATGCTCTGGGTGACGGTAGTGCCCAGTGAGAAGCTTTTAGAAACCTGAGAAAAAGGGGCTCTGTAGTGAAACAGACCTGAGAAGCATGGCATACTGCACCGATGTCTTGCAGAGCCACTGAACATTACACTCCAGAAGGCTCTGAAAAGACCTACAATAAAGAAACCTGTTTCTTACACTTACTTTAACACAAAACCCATTTCTCTCTGGTTTAACATCTAATGGGATGCCAGCGTCCTAATGAACACAGCCTGAAAAATGTTGCTATAGTCGTGACACTTCAATCTTGCAGCAAATCTTGAAAGCAAAAACAAAGATGCAAAGAAGGCAGAAAGAACAGTCTCTCTCAATACTATCTAGACATATTCATTCATATCATAGGCAAAGTGTTTCTCTGCTGCCATACTAATCTGTTATTAACATTGGTTCCATCCAGTATGGCCAGAGGCCAGGTACCATGGCTCACTCCTATGATCCCAGCACTGTGGGAGGCTCAGATGAGAGAATTGCTTGAGCTCCAGAGTTTGAGACCAGCCTGGGGAACATAGTGAGACCCTACCTCTACACAAAAAAAATTAGCTAGGCATGGTGGTCAGGAGGCTGAGGTGGAAGGACAGTTTGAGCCCAGGAGTTATAGGCTGCAGTGACCCAAGTTCCCACCAATGCACTATAGCCTGGGCAACACAGTAAGACCATGTCTCAAAAAAATAAAAGAGCACCTATAATTTTATACCCGGGCTATTTATAAATAAGTCTGTCTACTGCTGGTAAGCAATGGAAATCCATTGAGACACTCTACCAAATTAAGTCAGTCTACTAAACTTAAAGGAATTTAAGTTTAAATTGAGATAGTCTACTAAACTTAAAGGAATTCTGATATTAACTCCCTTCTCTGAAGCTATTACAAATCCTAAACATACTTCATTCTACCACAAACTTTCTTAAAACCCCCAAACTCCAGGTCTTTTTGTTTCGGTTCTAGAAAATTCTCCAAAGATACAGGCTCCCAAAGAACCTCTAGATGGATTAAGTAGGACTAGAAGAGCCACCTGGTTCTCTCTCCCAAAATAAAGTTCCAAGACCATGCCTCTAGAGTTCCTTAATGGTCTCTAGTTAGGTGACATGGCAATACCAAAGGGGTTTTTAAATGTATCTCATTGGATAAGACCAAACCCAGGCAAATAGCATACAGAACAACTGTAAGCAAATTCGTCAAACAAAATCATGTCCACATGTTTCCTATCAGCTATAATAATTTATTAATTGAGCTGAAATCTGTTTCCCATATTCCCAACATTGCTGCCAATAAGAAATGGAATATATTCAAAATTAACATTTTTATGACTCACAAACCTTGCATTTCTTGCCAACTTTAGTTAATAGACATTCTATTAAGAAACACTGCCTGAAAATCAGATATTCATGAGATAGAGATTGTGCAATTTGTGCAATCTTGTGTAGAACATTATATCTATTTTAGATTATTAAACTGAGGGTTTCTTCGATTAAAAAGATGTTTCAAGTGGCCACAGAAAGTAAACGGGTCTGATTCATTTGCTAATTCCTTTTTTTTTTTTTTTTTTTTTTTAGATGGAGTCTCACTCTGGCTAATTCCTTTTTAAAATGGACTTGTATTCAAATTTGAGCCTAACACACAGGAATGTTGGGAGGATGAAACATACAAAGAGCCTAGCACAATGCTTGGAAATATAGCAAATGTTTAATGAAGTCAGTTCCTTTAATTATAAATTATTTGATTGTTATGAAAAGTAGGTCTTTTTCTTTCAGAAGGCACTCTGAAATGCATTATCCTTGTGACAGGTTGTCTTTAATTGTATGGCTCTTTACCCTTAGTTTTAAAACAGAAAATAGAAGTAGTTCAAGTCATGTAATTTTAAAGGTACAACTAATATATTTATATAATACATATGTTTGTAAAAGTTTAAGAAAAATATGGAAAAGCTACATTCCATAGCTTTCCATATTCAATGGTGGCTACTATATTCACCACTACATTCAATGGTGGTTACCTCTGGGCAATGGCATCTGGCAAAGGTTTGGAAATTAAATCTTTCACTTTCCATTTCTTTACAATTAGTATTTTTCATAACCAGTACATGTTATTTATTAATTTTTTTCCTTCCATTTTCTGACTATTTACTGAATACCTACTCTCTGCCAAGTTCTAAGCAGACCTAGAAAGTCCAATCTAGGTGGACATATTTGCAAACTGAAAGAAGCTTCTTTTTTAAAGTAATGCATCAGTGTATTCATAGTGAACGATATATAATTTGTCTATGTTTCTGTAAGATAAATTAAAACATTACATTAGGTAAAACCCACATATCATAAAACCACTGTTCATTTTGCTTCATTCAACCCTATGTGCTGGGAATTTTCTGCATCAGAAATCATTCTGGAATCCTTTTTACCTGGCACTGACTAAAGAGGTATGGGTGTTCCTTCCCAGAAGTCTGTTCAGGAGTGAGCCACTGAAGAGCAGAAGATTTTGGAGAGGTCTCAAAGGAGATTTCTATAACAATTTCTTGATTTCTGTATGAAACAAATAACTGTATTAGTAGAGTATAATTCCATCTAGTTAAAATTTAAACTCATAATACATACACTGAATACTATAAGTCACAGAGTATGCATTCTCATCACTGACTGACAGTAAGCTCTAGGAATGCCGCATCCTCAGTAGGTAAGTCTCCTCTCAGTTTTCCTTCCCAAATCCCTGCCTTTGGGTCCTCTGACTTCTCCCATGCTAACTGTTAGCAAAGGCGTAACGGCAACTAACGTGGGTTGAGTGCCCCATTGTGTGTCACGTATTTTGCATCTGTGATATCATTTAATCTTTTTTTTTTTTTTTTGGTAGACTAAGTCTCACTCTGTTGCCCAGGCTGGAATGCAGTGGCACAAACTTGGCTCACTGCAGTCTCCGCCTCCTGGGTTCAAGTGATTCATTTGCCTCAGCTTCCTGAGTAGCTGGGACTACACATGCGTACCACTAAGCCCAGCTAATTTTTGTATTTTTTTTTTTTTTTTAGTAGAGACAGGGTTTCACCATGTTGGCCAGGATGGTCTTGATTTCCTGACCTTGTGATCTGCCTGCCTCAGCCTCCCAAAGTGCTGGGGTTACAGGTGTGAGCCACCACACCCAGCCTCATTTAATCTTTTATTAGAGTGGAAAAGGGAAAGAAATCATTTTGGAGTTTCAACTACCACAGCAGCAGGTGCCACAGCATGACAGAGAGCAGTGCTAGTCTGCAAAGTGTTACTGGCCCAGGACAAGACAGGACCGGACTGATTCAAGTGAGAGTCAGCATTGCAAAACTTTCAGTCATTTTTATGTCTGTTGAATCTAATAATAAAAAAATGTGTGCTTGCATTTCATCTCTTCCTCCTATTTCATTTTTTATTGCATTTTACAAAAGTATCAGTCTATGGCAGATTGAAGAGGATAAAAACTAGTCTTTTATCTCAGATAGCTTGAGAAGCACTGATAATAAGGTAACAGTAAGCGCTTTAGAGACCAGCAGCCCTGCCCATGTTGGAATCCTGACTCTACCACTCACTGGCATTATAAACTTGGGCAAATTATTTGACCTCCCTATGCCACAGTTTCCTTGTGGAATGGGGTGAATAACATCTACCTCACAAGTTAGACTTAAGGGTTTCCCTTCTCTTAAAGGGAAAGAGAAGGCATGAAAACACTGGCCACTGAATAACTGGGGTAGATCACCCTTGTTCTAGGCTAATAGTTTTCACCCTTTTTCCCTTCCCCAATATATCAGGAAGTGGCATATACTCCCAACAGGACAATTCTGGTTGCCACTTTCTTGAGTAAGTTATTTCTGTAAGGTTCCCTTTCCTCATCTTTAAGTGTAGATCATACCAACAGGGTCACTGTAAGACTCAGATAAAAGAATGCATTTAAAGCACTTATCCCAAGATTGCAACACCATAACAGTTCTACCTTTGGCATTATCGTTGTCCCATTAATAAATGCAGCTGGCCTCTGGGGCAAGGGCAAGGAATGTGCAGCTTGTAAAAGCTACCCAGGTTATCTTGAAATGCCTCCTTATGATGGAATGCCCCCACCATCACTCTAGATATTATTGAAAGGATGAATCATTTAAAAACTAACAATTCCCAAAGTCCTTGTTGTGAGGATTATCTACAAACAATGTTTTTAGTATCCTAAGTACATAAAATTATAACTGCTGTACCAACTTCAATCTGAACAGAAGATCAGAAATAGTATACCAATCATTACATATTTACAAACTAAATTTTAAAAAGGAAAAACATCTATATTAGTTAAAAATATTTTCCCCCACTATTTAGCTATAAAAGAGAAAGATCACAACATGCATACTTGCTCAAAGCGATAGGAAGAGAGATTTCCATTGGCGATCCCTTGTAACTTTGTCTTTCACCAAGAGCATATTTGACTTCTTGTCCATTGATCACTACTTTTTCTATTGTAAGGTCCTTTGTATCCAAAACCTAAAATTAGTAAATAGTAAGAAAATTGTTTTATTTACCAGAAAAAAAACTATTATAGATTACAACAACTAGTTGCTTGTGGAAAGTAAAATACAGAGTGAAATTACAAGAATTAAAGGAGTCAAAAGTTAGTCTAGGTCTCATTTTTTCGGGCTCTAAGCGTCCTGAAAATTTTGGGGTTCTAAGATTTGCATATATATTGTTAAGTAACCCTAGGACAGTCACACAAATTTGGGGCTTTAAAGTAATAGTCAAATCTAAATCAAAATATGTTTGCTTCTGTCTCCTAAAATTTTCTCTATTATGAAAAACTTTACCAATAACTTAAGTTTCTTTCACTCTGGCTCCTCAATATACTACACAATATATTTCTTCCTAGAGCTCAAGTAGTCCAACTTCCGTTTACTTTCAACCTTTGCATTCATTAAGCAAATCAGCAGACTGTGTATCACTGTTGTTGTATATCTGGAAAAAGCCCAACCTGGTATGGCAACTTGGACCAAATGATTCTGCAGAGGGTTGGGGGGCCATATCTACTTGCCATGCACAATTAAGGACAACTAACTGCTTTGGGCAGTAGTGGCAACAAGTGTCGGAGTATTTTCTATCCCCTAAATCCTGAGCCCTAGAAATCACAACCTTTAATTATTTCTCAACTAATCTCCTATCCTAGAATCTTGAACCTTCCTATGCCACAAGACCGAAGTTCCTAACCATAAACCAAATTCTACTTGATGGATCTACCCACTAACTATTCTAGTTTTCCCCCTTCCTTTTTTGAGATGGGAGTCTCGCTGTGTTGCTCAGGCTGGAGTGCAATGGCACAAACTCGGCTCACTGCAACCTCCGTCTCCTGGGCTCAAGCGATTCACCTGCCTCAGCCTCCCAAGTAGCTGAGATCACAGGAACGCACCACTATGCCCAACTAATTTTTGTATTTTTAGTAGAGAGGGAGTTTCACCATGTTGACCAGGCTAGTCTTAAAACTCCAGACCTCAGGTGATCCACCAACTTTGCCTCCCAAAGTGCTGGGATTACAGGCATGAGCCACTACGCCCAGCCCCTCCTTCCTTTCTTAACCGCCAAGGACAATCTATGGCTGCTACTTCTACTTCCTCACCAATCATTCTCCCTCTCCCCTTCTTCAATCTGGCTTCTAGCTCCTTTGCTAGGGAAAGGGCAGCCCCCACCCCAATCAACAAAGTGTTTTCTGTCCGATAACGTTGACCTCTGTCTACTCACAGCCCTTATGGACCATGTCATCTGGTTAAAACCCCTTCCTTCGCTTCTTTGCCTGTACACATAAATCACAAATGGTTTTTTTATCTAATTTTTTTCCTTTCCCCTTATTTATTCCAACTCCCAAACATGGCTATATCCCAATGTTTCAGGCCCGGTCCTTTGATTTTCTTGCCATATCCTTCACTCCCTAGATCTTACTCATGCCCACATCTTCAACTAGTATCTCTGTGAAGATGCCTGCCATTCTATTTCTACAGTTGTATTCCCTCCCAGGACCTCAGTCTAATTGTCTACACAAGATTTCCATGGGACATAGCACCTTATACTGAATAGGCTCCTAAAAATTCCAAACATGACTTTTATACTCCCTAAATCAGCTTCCTCCCCAGATTTCTTGATTCTGTTAAAAGAATTCTTTCAGTCACCTAAGGTTTGATCCCAGTTCCTAATCCCACACAGCCACTTAGAATTTGTTCTTTCACAATGTCTTCATAACTTTTCCTTTCCTTCCACTACTATCCCAGATCAGGCCCTGGACTGGTAGAACTGCTTTCCATCAGATCTCCCTACCTCTGGCATTTTTTTTTTTCCTTTTCTGAGATCTGGCCTGGCTACAAGGCCAAGAACCCACCATTTCCAAGCTGCCCCTCTTTTACCCTCTTTTATATTAGCTAGCCAGGCATAATAAGCTCAGAAATTGTCACAAGGACAATCACTAAACCTGATTCCCACCTCTCTGGAGTCAACAATTTTTGCTTGGGAAGAAATTTCCACCCTGGTTTGTTTTCCTTTATTTTTTTAAGAGAGCTGAATTTGATATGAGAGTACCATCTGTTTCCCTCCTAATGGGCAATTATTTATTTCAGGACACTTTCTTTTGGGGTACTGCATCTGTTATCCTTACTATAAATTAGTAGAGGATATGGTTTATAGCTTATTAAAAATAATAGGGTTACTCCCTCATATTCTAGTACCTCTCTTGTCTCTTCATACCTAGTTCTGAATAGCTATTCAAAATAGCTAATTTGTTTTAAAAACTTGAGTACATTGTGTTTATAACTCATGCTTATATAGATGAATTACCTTAGTCATTTCCTAGTGGAACATATTGTGTTTTCTATGTTGCCTAAACTTTCCAAATCTGTTCAGAATCAGAAGTGTCACAGTGTCATAGGGACAACTATTTTTTTTGTGAAACCTTTGATATCCCTGTGTTTGTTATAGCAGTTGGCCCTACCCTTTCCTATAAGACTTATTGTACTGCATTATAATGATTTCTTTTTCCATTAGACTGAGGCTTCTAAAACAGAGAATGTTACTTAGGTCTGTATTCTCAGGCTTTAGCACTGTGTCTCAAAAACACTAGGTGTCAATTAATGCATGAAGCAGGTCCTAGACCAAGAGAAAACAAAAAATGCAATGTTTAAGCTGTATATCTCAAGTCCTAAGCCTCAACTATCATTTGCAAATTACTTTTGAAAATTCCCCTTCAAATTTCAGTGACATTATTTTTTAAAAATTGGTCAAAAATTATAATAAGAAAGAAAAATAAAGAAAACTAGAGTGTGGACAAGTTTGGTACTTTTTAAGAAACATTTGTTAAACATCAACTACGTGCAAGACCAAGATGCTGATATATAGTTAAAAGAAAAAGCTCTACTATTGATGGGATATAATTTGCTATATTTCACAGGATACTCTTTGAACAATGCCACCCCTAAACCTTCCAAAAATCAGTTCTACTTCTTGGCAGCTGATCAGTTCAGATGGAATATATATCTGATTCCTTTTTTGCACAGGCCAGTAGGAAGCTCCATGTCAACCCTGTGGCCCACTTCTTTTAATGTATAGAGGGCTTTTATGATGTGGATTTTGTTTCTCCTATCCTTATTCTCTCTTCCTCCAAATTATTTTTAATCTTATACTATATATGTTGCTTCAAGCAGTCTCCATTCTTTCTAGAACAAAGCAGAGTTTTTTAAAAAAAAAGCTTTATGCCGCATTTTGATGTCTGTATTTACATTTTTTACTTTCTATCCACAGGGATGTGATGGGGCGGGGAAACATGGGTTTATGGGTGAAATACAAAACTAAAACTAAAAAACCACCTTGATTTGATTCCCATTCAGCCACTTACTTAGTGAAGACAAGACGGTTTGCAGTCAGAAATATCTATTGTTCAACTGCTGGCTTCTGCCTTGGCCGTGACACTAAAACCTCTTTGAGCCACAAACCAAAAGAATACCTACATATTTCTGAAAGTTTCAATGAAAAGAAACAAATGTTTGAAAGTCATCATCAATTTGGAGGATCAAATGTCAGTGTAAATAAACCAAAATTTGAAAAGAATTTTAGAAAGCTGAGAATTTGTCTGATTAAGCAATTTCTCAACATCACAGACTCCAAGGATGGAGAGGAAAAGAAAACATGACGTCTCTCTCTTCACTCAGCACTGGCACTGCATGGGTCTTCCCATCTCACCTCTGAAATACAGCTTGCACTATTATCAGTGTAGCCCATGTTAAGCTTAAGCACTGTTTTCTAATTGAATTCCTCCATTAATCAAACTTCTGAATGTCCTCTACATGCCAGAAATAGACTACAGCAGGAATATGAGATACAAAGAGTATGAAAAACAGTCCCTACATTCAAGAGTCCACAGTTTACTGGAGGAAAGAAACAAGTTAACTTTAAATAAATATTAATTAATAAGGATAAGCTCCTGGTCTAAGATTTTTGTCATAAATAAGCAAACAATTATAAACAGATGTCATTTTTGTACTATAAACTGCCTTCCTTGTATAAAATCTAACTTATTATAATTCCAAGCTCCAATTTGCTAAACAGACATGCCAACCAAAAATCATAATTTTAAAATATTACTTTTCTCTAGATTTGGGGAATGTTAAAACAATGAGCAGGATTTTAGATTGGGATATTCTTTTCAAAATTTAAACATCCTGATTCTTGCTTACTTATAGAACAGAGAGAAAGTTTTTATTTTACAAAAGTGATGAGAACACATGGACACACAGTGGGGAACACACACTCTAGGGCCTATTGGAGGTTGGAGGGTGGAAGAAGGGAGAGGATAAGGAAATATAACTAATGGGTACTAGGCTTAATACCTGGATGACAAAATAATCTGTACAACAAACCCTCATGACACAAGTTTACCTATATAACAAACCTGCACATGTACACCTGAACTTCAAATAATTTTTTTAAGGTTTTTATTTTACAAAACAGAGGTGAGTGTGAGCCCATATTAAGCAGTAAACAGCTATAAAAATGTTCGTTCGTTTAATGAGGAGAAACTGCACTGAAATAGGACTTCAGTCTTGCCCAAAGTTGCTACTGCAATTAAAGATAGCTGGTAGTTCAAGAAGACCAAAGTGCAATGTACAAGGAAATAGATACCTTCTTATTTATAATACCTTTATTTTCTTTTGTATAGTACTTTTGGTGATTACATATCAGTACATAGAGGAATCGACCTATTTTTCAAATCAATGAGTTTAGCAAAATGTTAAAGGACAAAGAGTAAGAAAGCTAAGTACTTATTAGTTCATATTATTGAAATCGAAATGCAGATCTATTACACAAATAGGAAAAAGAGGCCTGAAACCCACCAATTCTTATCTGCCTGACCTGATCTGATTGCTTATTGATGTGCTTTAGTAGATTTCACCACGCTACACTGTGTAAAATACACGTGTAGCATCCTGCCCTGGTGAAGAAGCCGAACGTGGCTATCTTTTCATGACCCTCTTATTTCTAAAATGCTCTTCTATGAAATTCTTCAGGTGAAAGGTATAAACCAAATACAATTTGAGCAGGAATATTAAATACAGGTTAAATGATACAGGTAAAATGACTGAATAACATTCCATGAACCTACACTCTTTCTTCATTCCAATGGTTGGAGAGTTTGTAAAAAGACGTGTTTTCTAAGTGAAATAACTACTTGGCTCCTTGGAACCAACTATTAATAAAGCGTATTGAATCATCCTTAGAAAACTTGAATGTCCCACCCGTCCTTAAATTATCCGAAGATAAGAAAGTTCATAAGATTCAAAGGTAGAAAGGACTCTGAAAAGAAGGAGTTGCTCCCTGAAGTTGGCAAGCAGGAACTGGAAGTTTCAAAGCAGAGCGGAGAGAAGAGGCCTGCCCGGGGCTGGGAATCCTAAGGGGCTTGAGAACGACTAGCAGGGAGATCCAGGGAACTAGGAAGGAGACGGATAGGTGCCGCCCTGCATAACTGTGGATTGAAATAAGGGTTCCAGGGAGGGAACCGTGGGATCAGGGATCGACAGTACAAGGGATCTGAGGTTTGGGTGAGACTGTTGACCGAGAAGGTGCGCAGGGGGCTGGGTTTTCCTGGGCCTGAGAAGGGGGTTGTGGGCCGCAGGCCGAGGCAATGAGGAGGCCATGGAGTAATTAGAGCCGGGAACTAGGATTATGGGGGATATCGCAAAGATGACACCTAAGGGCTGGGTGAGCTGAGAGGAGTGGACGAGGCGCTCGGATGTGCCTAGGCACTGGAGAGAGGATTCCGGCGAGGAGCTAAGGAGACTTAAGTACAAATGGGAGGGTGAGGGGAGGGATGCAGAGGCGTGAGTTGGGTTGAGAGGGGATTGCTGTGGAAGAGCTGAGGACTGAAAACGAAGTGCCGAACATGAGTTGGGTGGAGGCTACAGAAGAGCAGATGGAGACGTGCGGCTGGGCAGGGGCCGCGGCAGGGTGAGCCGGAGATCCGGGAGCCCGCAAGGACGAAGGGCGATGGGCGAGGGGCGGGGGGGCCCGGGAGAGGCGGGCACTGGGCAGGCGCCCCACCATACCAGGCTGCGCAGATTGTCCTCCTGAGACTGAACCGTGAGCGCTGCAGTCCCGGTCAGCGTCCGGCGAGTAAAGTCGACGCTGCAGCGCAGATGCAGATGCTTGGTCCGGCAGACGGAAGCCGGAGAGGCCAACGAACAAGTATCCACTACCTCGGGCATGGCTCTGGGGTATCACGCCGCACAGCGACCCACACCTGAAGACTAGTCGATTGAGAGAACCTGAGGGAGTAAGATTAAAAAGAAAAATAAAGAAAAAAAAAAAAAAAAAAAGAGGAGGGATTCGCGGTGTACGCCGGGAAAGGAAGTTTCTTAAAGTCAGAGGAACCTGTGGTGATGGCAGCGAAGGAACTACAAGTTCCATGGTGCAGCGCGGCAAGCGTGCGCTTGGCTACCTGGGAGCGTGTCAGTTAGGGGTGCTGAGAGGGACTGAGGGTGCTCCTGGAGCTGGAGAAGACGAGGGGAGTCAGGGCAGTTAGAAGGGTGGCCTGAGGGGAATGATAAGACATAGAGAGGGAGATAAAACTGAACAGTACCATTTTGGCTCTGTTCAACTTCGGTGAAAGATGTAGTGGCAAACATAAGAAAATCAAATTCATTGGTCGTTGCGTTTAGCAAGGGTGGGGCGGGGCGGAGCGGAGCGAAAACGTAGAAAAGGTCTTTAAGAAGCGCTTCTCCCATGCAGTTCCTCGTTAGTATAGTGGTGAGTATCCCCGCCTGTCACGCGGGAGACCGGGGTTCGATTCCCCGACGGGGAGACGCTAGAGTCATTTTCTTTCAGCTGTAATTCAAGATTTAAAGAGCTGCTTTGTCAGTTTCAGTGTCTATTAAACAGCTGGCCCTTAAATCCTGGGTGCATCAGTGGGGGACCCATTGAAGACTTTTCATCAGGGGACTGATATATGTGGTCAGACTCATGTTATAAAATGCAGTATCAAAACCGGAAGCAGGAGATTTAGGAAACTATTAAAATGGCTCAATCAGAAAATGCTGGAGGCCTGACATAGGTAAGTTAGGATAGAAAGGAAGGAATGAATGGAAGGAAACTTAGGTAGGTGGATTCACAGATTGAGAGGAGCCTAAGGGGGCCCAGCTTCAGTGACTGGGTAGTCATTAACCAGAGATAGTACTCTGTATGAAGAGGACAGTATGTTAGGCTGTACTTGGCATTGCTATAAATACCTGAGACTGGGTAATTTATAAGAAAAGAGGCTTAATTGGCTTACAGTTACGCAGGCTGTACAAGAAGCATAGCTCGGGTATCTGCTTCTGGGTAGGCCTCAGGAAAGCTTACAATCATGGCAAAAGGTAAAGGCGGTGCAGGCCTCTACATGGCCCAAGGAGAAGCAAGAGACAGAGAGAGAGTGGAGGGCCAGCGCCACACACTTAAACAGTCAGATCTCAAGACCTCACTGTGGTGAGGACAGCACCAGGCCACAAGGCATCTGCCCCACATGACCCAAACACCTCCCACCAGGCTCCACCTCCAACAGTGAAGATTATAATTCAACATGAGATTTCGTAGGGACATATATTCAACTAAATCCAACAGATTTAAGGGGAAGATGCTAAATTCAATTTTGAACATACAAAATTTGAGAACCTACGGGAGTTGAAGTGGAAATGTCCATGAATCACTTGGATATCTAAGTCCATAGCTCTGGGGAGGTGTCAGGTAGACATGACGGCGTCACATAATGTGGTGGATGGAATTATGACAATGGGTAAGCTCAACCCAAGATGAGTGTGTAAAGAGAAGGGCAAGGAAAACAAGTTGGAAGCTGGGAAAACACCAGAATTTAATTTTTTAAAAAGGGCTAGAAGAGAAACCCATGAAATAAACCAGAAAGATCCAACCAACAACGCCAGATGCAGTCCAGAGGACCACTGAAGTAAGAAGTGAAAATTCTCTAGATTTTGGCAGTGGGATGAGAGTGGGGATGGTGGTGGTTTTGTTGACTGTTGTGATTTGGTTGAAGAAAGCTAGAGAGCAGTGGACTGAGCAATGAAGAGAAGAGGGAGGTGGAGCATAAACCACTGTCAAGTTGCTTGGCCAATGTGAGATGGGAAGATTAAGGGGTAGCTAGAAAGGAATGCAGCATTGGGAAAGTGTTTTTTAATTTTTGCTTTTTAGGGCAAGAGAAACTTTAACATGTTTAGATACAGAGGTGAAAGGGCTTCTGGAGAAAAGGAAAGTTTCTGCAGAAGGACCGACCTGGAGGTAAAAAGGTAGTGAAGAAGAAGAAAGTAAAGATTTCAGAGGTGTGAGGGATAGTTGATGGATTGAGCATGCCAGTATGGTTCAATTCTCTATCAAAGGTGATGAAATTTGGCTCCAGCAATAACAATTAGAAAGCTGCTGTATTTCTGCATATCCTTGTGTTGGCCCCTGCAGGCCAAAGGAAAACAAAATAAAAATATTCCAAACTATGAAATCTAATACCTTACATATGCATAGGTCCTAATTCATAGGGTATAAGAATCTGTGATCAACATTTGCATTTTGGTTTTTTTTTTTTTTTTTTTTTACAAGGTTTTGCTCTGTTGCCCAGGCTAGATGTAGTGGTTCAGTCACAGCTAACTGCACGTTCAACCTCTTGGACTCAAGTGATTCTTGTGCCTTAGCCTCCCAAGCAGCTGGGACTACAGGCGCCCATCACCACACCCAGCTAATTTTTATATTTTTTGTAGAGACGCAGTTTAGCCATATTGCCCAGGCTGGTCTCAAACTTCTGAGCTCAAGGGATCCACCTGCCTTGGCTTCCCAAAGTGCTGGGATTACGTGTGTGAGTCACTACCCAGAGCTGCAAACATTTTTTGAGGTCACCAAATCTAGGATGACAAATACAATAGATACCATAGAATTCGTTTACTCAAATAATACACAATCAAATCATCTTCTTTATCTAGTATGGAGAAGGACAGTTTGTTTTAATAAAAAGAATGTCAATATCATCATCTTCTATTATTGATTACCAGGAACCCACAGAGTTTATGCCACTTGTGTTTAAATAAAAATATCCACAGACAACCACAAATAAATTCCTCCATTAATATATTCATCAAAAAATAAATATACAGCAGGAATTGTTTTCTAAGCTACCACTCACCCCAAATATAGAATGTACAAAATTCACAATTTACAATCATTTGGAGTATTATTGATATCCAATGGTGAATTGAGAGTGCTTCAAAAAGTGAGGCTTTCCACTCCATCTATAAAAGAAGGGTAAGGCTGGGCAGAATGGCCCACACCTGTAATCCCAGCACTTTGGGGAGCTGAGGCAGGCAGTTCAGCCTGGGCAACATGGTGAATCCCTGTCTCTACAAATAATAGTAATAATGATAACAAAAGAAGGGTAATATCAGGGTCTAGCTACCAAAGGAGACTTTAAGATGAAAAAGATGATCTATATAAAATATTATGAAAAGAATTAATTCCTGTATTTATAGAGTCATATGAACAAGAAGAATTCCAGTCCTGCTGTTCCCCTGGAAAAGTTAATTAGTCCCTCAATCCCCTCAGGATAATTGAGGTACCTGTGGCCCGTGGAGTTGCTGAAAAGATAAAATGAGATAAAATATGGGAACTGCTTGGCACTGTGATTGGCACAGATTGAGCATTTGTTACATGTTAGCTAATATGATTATTGCTGTCGGCTTTTATTTTGTCTATTTTAATCACTTTAGCGTTACTCTTCCTTGTTGTGTTAGCAGGTGCTTTTAGGACAACCTGGGAAATGAGAAGCAACCATCGTTTGTACAGCAAAACCAGTCACACCAAATTAGGCCTCTAAAAAGGAATGGCAACATTAACAAAGATCATGTTTTGAAATGCATTTACAGGAAATTTCAATTGTTGCACAGATACTTCCCTTAAAAGGGCAAAAAGACTGCACATTTTCTCCCCTTCCTTTACATATGCCTTTCCTTTCTTGAAATATTCAATGTAATTTGCAGATATTTATTAAATGCATTCTACTACATTGTGCTACTGAGAAGATAATTGGGAAAGGCTCTGTTCTACCTCTTGGATAATTTATACTCTAGTACCCAGCTATACTAATGACCTAAAGCAACGTGGTGTTAAAAGGAGATCAAGACCCAAGGAAAACTCTACATGAAGTTCTAGAGGAACAAGTTCTATTTGAGGAAGGTCAAGAATAACGTCACGACTGATACAGCATTTGAGATGGGATTTGAAGGATGAGCAGAATATTATTAGGAAAAATGGTGGGACTGAGCATGGAGAATGGGAGGTCGGCAGATTTTCAGTTGGACTTCGCAGGAATCAAGGCATGGGCCAGAACTAGAGATCTGTTTGGGAAAGAACAATTCTTTTTTTTAAAGATGGGGTTTCACCGTGATGGCCAGGCTGGTCTTGAACTCCTGTTCAGGTGATCCACCCACCTCAGCCTCCCAAAATGCTAGGATTACAGGCGTGAGCCACCGTGCCCGGCCAGAAAAGAACAATTCTGAAGGTACAAAATCCTCCAAGTTAATACAGCGTCCTCACACACTCCTCAGTAATCTGCCTTTCTTCTTTCCTCTCCAGGTTATACATCTGGCATGACAGAGATCATTAGTTGTTTCCTAATACCTATGTATCTTTTCATCCTTAGAAGTAAAACCATGTTTAGCTGGACACATGGCCACCCGGAAGCAGACATTTCCCAACCTTCTTTGCAGTTGGGCCATGCCATTAAGTTCTGTCCAATGGGATCTCAATGAAATTGTCAGTTATGACCTCTAGAAAGTGTCCTTAACAGTTAACTTTATTTTCTTTTTAACCTTTTCTCTATTCTCTTATCTGGAATGTATATAAGATACATGGATGGCTGGAGCTCTAACTACCATGTTGTATCATGAGGTTGGAGCCGTGTGCTGAGGGTGTTGGAGCAGCAGAGTAGGAGGACCCATGAGCTGGAAATAGCCAGGTCCCTGAGGATCATGGAACCCCCATGTGGACTGCTCTGAATTTCTTATCTTTGAGAAAGAAATAAACTTCTACTTTAAGGCAGTGTTTCTTGGGTTTTCTGTCCTCCACAGGCAACTCAATCTTTACCAAGACTCCTGGTCTCAGTTGGGTGAGTTTATCAGTTTTGCCCCAGATACTTGCCTTATCTGCTGGTTTTCCACCACATTATTGTGGTCAAATCTTTCTTCCTCCTTCTTGTGTTATCTTCTAGAGTATTCTTTCTAATGTAATCATCTCACTACCCTGTTTAAAATCCTTCAAGGTCTTACCAGCTGCCAGTTGATACTATCTGCCTTTTTTGATTTAAGGCCCATTTTTAAATAGTAGAATT